ACTGGTGATGAGGATGGTTATGATGATATTATTTATATGATCATATTAAAGATGTTACATAAATGATGATGAAGATGATGATGGTTATTTTTCCTTTTCACAGGTGCAATAGAATTATCAATATTAAGTAAACATTATGGTATAGAAATAGCTGTAGTAGACACAGAGAGCGAAAGAATCGATCGTTTTGGTAAGTGATTTTCAAATCTATTTTGAGGTCCTTTTTGTTACCAGTAATGCCTGATTTGTTGTTCCTTTTACTTAAAGGTGAAAATGAAAAATACTCCAACCGAGTKTTCCTCATATATGATGGAATCCACTACGACCCCCTTGGGATACAGGAAGACTCGTCTGACCTCCCCCTGCAAACAGTGTTCCCAATTACAGATGAAAAAAGATTGGTGGAGGCTTTGAGTCTGGCTGCAGATGCAAAAAAGGTATCTCGARTATTTTTTTTTCTTTTTTAAGCGAATGACCAAAGACAGAATGCAATATCTTCATTCCTTTCTGTCTTTCATTCATTCATTCTTTCATTTATTCATTCTCTCCATCCATCCACCCATTCTTCCTTCCTTCCTTCCTTCCTTTCTTCCTTCCTTCCTTTCTTCCTTCCTTCCTTCTAATAAACATTCTTTAATCTTCACAGAAGCGACATTTCACCAACGTTTCTAAATTCACGTTACGCTGCTTGGCGTGCAACACACGATTGTCAGGTCAGGCACAAGCACAGCAACATGCYATAGCCACTGGACATACGAACTTTGGCGAGGTTTAGAAATGTTCCACATATTTAAGGCTTTCTGCCAGTAATGAAAGACGTACGGCTTCCGAAATTTCAAGAATTTTCACGCCGTGTTTAAAACGCTGTGGCCATTTTGGACTTTTCTGTGCGTTTTTTGACTTTTAAATAGCTTCCATCTTAGGCCACACGACAAGAAATACTCACATGAGGCCTGCATTAAACCCATTTGAGTGACAACATTTGTGTATTTTGTTTTGTTGCTCTTAAATGGTTTTCTATCATTGGTTAAGTAAGCCATTTGAGTGTCATATTCCCTTGTGCTTGACTCTTAAGTGACTTTCAACACAATTCAATAAAAAATAGAGAATATTCAAACAATGTTGGTTACAATCTCATTTCAGTGTTGCATCACGAACTAAAATATCTTGTAGTCAAGACTTTTAATATAAGATATAAACTATTTGTGAACTGCGTATTCATCATGGAGTATGGTTTTTCATTCGATTTATTATCGTACTCGATTTGTCGCCTACGACAACTGACATTTAGATTCACTTTTATACGCGATGGCTTACGCGAT